AAATCATTTATAATTTATATAATAATATTATTTATTATTTTCACAATAAACAAATTACAATAATTATCAAGAAGTATATAATGGATGTTCTCCCATATATAGTCTTCGTTTCTATAATGTACGTTGATGGTTGCTCAATTAAAACTGACTTCTTCTACTCACTCATTTGTGTCCTTTTTATGTGGTGAGCTACAGTGTCATTGACATTTCATTCATTTATACTAAATTGTAAGTGTGTTGTGCATGTGTGTATGTGCAGGTGCACTTTGCCTTTCTTACTGGCCACGTTAGAATAGGGTAATACCCTACATTAAGTGTGTAAAGCGTTCCAGAAATAATGTTCGCAATGCGAAAATCTAATATGAATCAGATATCTTTAGCTAAAAGATGTAAATGCAAGTAAAAAAAGTATTTAACTCTACCTTGAGAAAGCGAGTTCAGAAATACAATCACTGGGAGAGAGTGGGAAACACCATTAGCAGTTGGCTGGCTTTCGTTATCACTATCATTGTCAGGTTTGGGATAAGGCTCTAAACTGAATACCAATATGGGTCTAAAGATGACTGTCTTTACTTGTATACTCACTCATTTGTGTCCTTTTTATGTGGTGAGCTACAGTGTCATTGACACTTTCATTTATAAAGTATACATGTAAAATAAAAATGCAAATTCAAGTTAATTTATGGTTTGTTTTTAAAAGTGTTTGACATTTGTGGCGTTTTATTGTTCGCTGGAATCAAAGTACATCAACAACCACCTCAAATTTAGTAATTTACTGATGTAAATTTTAAAATATGGCTGAAAAATATTACGACCGGGGCTTTCTGGACTCCTAACGGGACACCGGGACCAGCATGTCGCACCGGGACGATCCCGGTGAGACCGGGACACTTGGGACGTCTGGTTTCATGTCCCATTTTTAGCAGTTATAACTTGCAAATTACGTGTGGAAGGGTTGCCGTACGTATCTCACGAATTTGTAGACATACGTTAAGCATCACTCCATAAGTGTGAATTTACGAACCCCCGAGTCATTGTAACGCGGGGCATTACTGTAGCATATATCACATCTCACGTTTCTCGCCATTTCAGTATGCAGTGTTCCTCGTCATCATTCTAGTGCTTGAGGTGGCGGCAGGTATTACTGTGGCTGTGTTCAGGGGTAAGGTGGATGAGAGCTTGAAGGCTTTCATGCTAACCACTCTCAATACTGAATATACTGGAGAGAGTAACCACAGGTTCACGGATGCCTGGGATGCAATGCAATACTCGGTAGGAATTATCTGTTGCTGTACTGAATATGCACATTGTCTTTGATACTATATGAAGTTGTGTTCCTTGTGTTCATTGACATGTGGTTTCAAATTCTCAAATGGTGAATATGTTTCGGAACACCATTATTATAGTTAGCATAGTTGTTGAATTTTTGTAGTACATATGAGGACTACATGAGATTCAGAAGCTTGTGCAAATGCAAATATTTCTTCCTCTTCTTCATCCCTCTCCTCCACCTCCTCTTTTTGCTCTGCTTCATCCCCTCCTCTGCCTCCTCTTTTTGCTCATTTTCTTCCGCCTCTTCTTCCTCCTCCTCCTCCTCCTCCTTTTCTTCTATTCTTTCATGATCAGAGCAAATAACTAGTGTGACATTCTGCTGATACTGTACACACATTATGGTAATGGAAGGTTGTTACGTATGCGGCGTCATTTACATTATAACCATGCTAACGGTATAGTAAATAGGACGGTTTGTTTACTTTTTAGTTTCAATGCTGCGGCGTCGATAGCGGTGCCGACTGGCAAAAGGACGCTGTGACAGCTTGGAAGATGAAATCGGAATGGAAGATTCCGCCTACTTGCTGCAAGGTTCAAGACACTTCTGCCTTATTTGGAGAGGAGCTTGTTAATACCCTTGAGAAGCTGTCCTGTAAAACTCTTGGCGATTCACTAACGTCCAATTACGACAAGGTTTGTGAACTATTTAAGATGCTGGATCGATCTAATGAAAATCAATCCGTTTACTTATTCATTTTACGAGTTTTCTTATTCATTTGATGACGCCTATGTATTTACAAGTAGTATATATGGGTATTTGCATATTTGCTTGTCTAACTGTTTACTGTATACATTGGTATTGCCTAAGTCCTGTCACTATCTGGCGTGCCTTTTCTAGGGCTGTTATCAAGCACTCGAAAATTGGATTGCTGAACATGCTACAATATGTATTGGGATTGGTATAGGACTAGGTTTACTTCAGGTAGGTATTCCTTAACTTGTTATGTACGGATATAAATGTGAATATTTGGAGATTAATTTTGATAAATGTCAATTTTGTCAGATTTTAAACTTAAAACCAGGTATGGTTATCTAGTTTAGTTTCTATATGTTCAGAGTTAATTACAAAGCTTTTTATATTTGAAAGTACCTTGAGATATTCACCTATTTCCTTTCTAATTTGGTGTTACTGATTAAGCAAATTAACCCTCGAAATCAATCGAAATGTTATGCCATATACACTTTGCATTGACTGATACCAAGTTTCAGGTATTACACTTTTTTCAGTAACTTTTGTTTTCCTCATTTTATAGATGTTTGGAATCATCTTTGCCTGTCTTCTGTGCAACGCGATTGCAAAATCTGGTTCGCAAGCCGTCTAGCAAGTTGGGTCTTCAAGATAGAGATATAGCTGTGTAGCTGTGTCCAGTGCTTCACGGTGACAGTTCATGCAAACATTCCTGCAGGCAACACCAGCTGCACGGAATCTCTCGACACTTGGTGCAATATGATATGTATTACATTGGGGAATGCTAAACTATGTCCTTTTAGATAAACCACAATGATGTTACTCTTATACACTCCTGTCACCAGGTGTAATTCCAAATTCACTAGTTGAATCGGTAAGAGTGAAATGCCATGCACGAATTTCGTTTCTATAGACTTGCGAATTTTGCTATCTAGGATTTAAAGTTTATATTCTCGCGTTTTCTTCCCCACGATTATATTATTGGAATTCTGTGCTCTTTGCTCCTATATCCACATCGGAAGGTTTCTACTTGATATCTCATGGCCATCACGTAGTATGGCGTTTATAACATGAGGGGGTCACAGCGAGTTTTATGTAATGTTAGATAGGAATGTAGGCCCTACATATATACTGTCCCTGTAGCATTGATCTTTCAAGTGCACCTTTGTCCATGCACATGTTTTGTGTTGATCACAGTGCTTTCATGCTGTAGTAAGCATATACTCTATACCTCACATCAGGAATTTTGTCTAGTAATTAATAGAAGATTTCCTGCTCACAATTAACTATTTGGCACGTAAAAAACTGCATTGTTAGTAGTTAGTTTTATAACAGAAATATATAGCCATGGTTGATACATTGACTAGTTGGAAGTTAACTCATGTTTAATATGGCAAGGGTGCAATTAATTTTGAGCCTACTAGTTTTGTATGATCACATATCTGCAGTGAATGTGCATCTATACATCTAGGCAATTTAAATTTAAACATGGTTTGTAGCAAAAAAGGAAAAGTTTTACTTTATTGTGTCTAAAGGCCGCCGCACACCAGCCGATTTTTCACGCGATTTGATCGGCCCGATAGAAATCAGCCGATATCGGGTAGGTGTGCGCGTTCATTTGTAGACGATTTTATTTTTATCGGGTGATCGTTCCAAATCAAACATGTTTGATTTTGAACCGATGAGCCGATGAGCCGATTTTACAAACGATGAAGCGATGTAGGTGTGCAGTGGCCTTAATCTAAACACGTTAGTCAACAGTAGTTTTCCCCGCATAATTTGAAGCATAATGTGAGAACATGTATCGAATTTAGTTTTTCGTTATTATACCGTAGTTGTTTTGTCGTATGTGAAATTGTGCGCTAGACATGAGTGAATTTAGAATGTTGGCACTATCATTAGTTTACACTGTAGTAATTCAACTCGAGTCCGTTTTCATAAACGAAAGCAGGCTTCTATTGTGTCACTTTTACTGCGTACACGACCTAACACATTTGTGGCAACTGTCCTACCTAGAATTGAAACGAGTTGCAGGAAAATATCGAAGTATATGTGCTGCATGGATATTTGGGGGCTACGCGCGCGAATTCTCACTACGTGTTAGTTGTAAGTTGATTGCATAGTTATAGTTTGTTGTGATTAATTGCCACACGTTTGGTCGTTCACGGCGTTTTTTAGATGGCGCCATAATTGTTTTATATACATTTTTTATCATTGAGCGGCAATTGTTTATCACGGGAGAAGACTTTTTCAGGTCGACGAAGTTGGTGATAAGGTGAAGGTTGAGCTGGTGGTACTATAGTGTCAATGAGCTTTTATGCACTCCCATGTTAATTTCCAAATCAGGCTCAATGGTTTTAATAATAATAAAAAATTCACTGCCAGAACGTAAAACTGCCCACTCTCTGATGCTGTAGCGGCTTTGTGACTTGTGCACACTGTCGCCCATAATATCATTAATGATTTCATTTGATAACTTTCAGTGGTATAGTTAATATTTAATAATTAAGGGTCAGCCACGTCTTTATTTGTTGAGTCGTAGAACAATAGCTAGTCAACTTGGGCAGAGAAACAACTGTGGGTTCCAACGATGTTCATGTAATGTTTCCAAGATTTGTACAGCGTGCGAGGTAAAATAAATGTTTCAATATTTTGATAGCTACCTACATAATGGTGTTTATATGTAAGAAATTTTCATTGTAATTATTGTTTTTATTATTAACTTGATTGCTATTTATACTAAAGAAATGGTTATCCGTTGTGAAAGTAGATTATTTGGGGGGACCTCAATGAAAATACTGCACTAGATAATCCTTATATCATTCAATACGTTATATTTTTCAACAAAGAAATACCAGCACAAATATTGCGTGTTTCAACATATACATATAAGACACGCGTATAATTTATAATAGAAATTCTAATCTATATATACGCGCATAAACAATGGTCTATTGGACGCATACGTATACATAACTAAAACCTGGCTTACTAATTGTTTTTTTTTATAACTGGACTTTTAACACAAAGAACTAACATCTTCACATAACTAAATGATTAGTGAAATGTTGCAGATATCTGCTATAAGTAACCTAACTTTCTTGATAACAATGGTTTGTTGTTCCTTAAAAAAGGAACATTTTATTAAATAATATGTTAATCTCGCTCGTGAGCGTAATGAAGTCTACTAAAACGCATAGAAATCATCATCACCGAATTTACACAATAATAAAAATAACAAAACAATACAAAAAACCTGCAATACGTAGAAAAACATTAATAACGCAAGGATGCCGTATTCCTCTATATCAGCCTATGTATAGAAAATGTTGCAAAACTCGCTTTCACTTATTATAATATATATAAAACGCGTCCATAGACCGAATATTTTAGTTCTCAAATGCCCGCGGTGGTTTTTTGATTTCTGGCTAATTTGAAGGCTATGGCATAATCCGACACTGATTTAAAGTCGTACATTCACACAGTTCAGATATAGCAGAATACAGAACATCGTTGTCGGCTGGAGCGCGTGCGTGCCCCCGGAGGGGGAGGGGGCACTCACCCCACATTATGGTAGGTATGTGCCACCGCGAAGTCAAAAATGGGAAGGGGGGGGGGGGCTCTAGAACTAACTCAGACCTGAAAATGGGGGTCTCTGGAAGTAATGTTTGTTTGAATGTGGGATGCTCTGGAACTGGCGATGTTCGAAAATGGGGGTTGCGTTGCATGCATGCCTTCACGGCCCGGCTTCAACGTATTCTGAAGTACGATGCACTGGCACGGAAATGTTAAAAACTAGAGTCTCCGGAACGGCAAAATTGTAAGATCTGCATGGTAACTAAACTTGTGATGCTCTGGAACGAGATATTCTTAAAAATGCGATGTACTGGAACGGAAGTTTAGGGTTGAAAATGGGGGTCTCTCCCGCGGCACATACCTACCATGCAATATATATGGAGTGCCTCCCGGGGGTGCGTGCTCGCGTGACCGCATTACTCCTAGTATTGATTGATTGATTATACGCCGAATAACTCTAGGCTTTGTTGACTGTCAACGAAATAGGACGAAGTGTAAACTTTCATAAAATAACAGTACAGTTTCGCTGCCGAAATGCGTGCTCGAATAATGCTGACGTTCCAGCAACAACTTCACGCGGCAACGTGCGGACATTAAACACCATTTCAAACCCGTGACATATACAACGTGGGGGCAGGAGTCGCTGAAAGAAACGCGCACCTTCGATGCAACCGCTCAGCACTAGCTCAGTCGGGTCGTCGGTAGGTAGATAGGAACTGTACAGCTTTACCAGGAGCGCAGAATGGAGGCCAATATCGGAACGTCTAGACGGAAATTACAACAAATATACTTTCATATAATTATATCAGGATTATATCTATCGTAGCTAGGCCTATATTATATACAGTAGTATCTATATAATATATCTATAGATATAGTATGTGAATATAGATAATATATTTTATTATCTATATACACATACTATATCTATAGATATAGTTTCTATATTATACGCTCCTGATTACATAACATCACAAGCAACCACATCATGCGAATATATGCAGGGTATATATACTTACAACAATAGTCCTACATGGGTTTTGTATTCACGTAATATCTTCTTCATACACATCCACGTCGATGCATAGAGTTTTGCGTTCGTAATGTGTCCTCGATTTGTTACGCGTAAATAAGGGTACTGCGACATTTTGCGAATTCACCCTACTTTCGTCACACTACAAATCTAGATGCTAGCACATGTTCTAACTAGCACTCTGCGTACAGCATAAATTGTGCTTATAGATGTAGACCTGGAATAGATCAAGAGTCCATAATTGAGTCTCTATTATAGACTCTTGAATAGATGTTAACTCATTGCTTACGGTATTGACACACGGCACCCACGTATCCGTGCGGGCAGTCGCACACGTTCTTCTTGCGGCGTAGGCGGACACATCTGCCACCATTCATGCACCTCTTACTGCACGTGTGCCTCGAATCGGCTGCAAAAAACGTCAGCGTGACAAACTATAAGTATAGGGCGACAGGCGGGTCCAGGCCTACAGCAGTGGCGTAGCCAGGATTTTTTAACCGGGGAGGGGGGGGGGTAACAGCGAACTGCGCAAAATAGTGGATGACTTAATATTTTAATGGTTCCTCCGCCTCCCTATTCACACCCTACGCTCCCACACCTCTCAGCTCTGCAATTTTTGTTTTGGGCGCCATGCAAAAAGGCGTCATTTTTGTTCGTTGTTCTTTGCTCCCAAGATATGTAACTGTTCAGTGGCCGATCCAGGATTCCAATGAGGGAGGTGAAAAACAGGCGGGGGTATGGGGGTCCTCCCCCAGAAAACTTCTCTACTTCTTACGGCAATTCTCTTTTTAGTAGAACAATTCTTTTTTTTTCACTTTCGGATCAACAGGGGGGGGCCTTGGCCCCCTTTGGCCCCCCTACTGGCCTACAGGCGGCGTACGTGCAGTTCCGTAAATTATTGTGCCTATTGTGCTGGTTGTGCTGGTTGTAACTGACACCTTGACCCAGAACTACTCCGACGAACCGCGTAGCATTTAATTAAATATAATCTACCTTAATATTCGTGTTAGTGGGGCTTAAGGTTTGCCACGGTACAATCCGATTTTGTCGAATTAATAGTTATGACGATACCAAAGTGAATAATTGCCTCTTTGACACACTTATTAACATAATCTCTCATTTATTCCTCGCGCAACCTCGTAAAATGCCCGCTGAATATTTACTAATATTTTTCTATCGCCACAATCAAACGGAGACCACGTAAAAATTGCTCGATCGGCAGAGGCTCGTTCGTTTAAAGGTACCTACTCGTCCTCAGATTAACGGCACGCGGTTTCTACTAGGTAAGAGTAAACCCCGAAATGAACGAGTTGCTATATCACGTGAATGCAGTTAGTAGAGCATAACCCCGTTTTCACTCGCACAAAGCTCCGTACATAATGCGTCGGAAAGGTCCGTTAAATCGCAATAAACGTCGACTGCAATGCCGAACGTATTTATTCGCGGGACAGACATCCGTTATCACGTATACTCACAGCGATTGCAGTGGTCACCCTTGTAACCCCAGGCGCAGTCGCAGTAGTAGCCGTTCGGTACGTATGGATCTCCGACGCACGTACCGCCGTTGTAGCAAGGGTGGCTGTAGCACGGATCTGACGAGAGAAAGAATATACCGAGCTATATTTAGCCATGTCCCCGGAGCTTAAATCTCAGACAGTCGATAACGTCATTACTCACAATGTTGACTCAAACGACGGGGTTGAGTAACAATTAGTTTTGCGCCTTGTGTGTTGGTTATCTAGAGCTTGCGGAATACTGCACGCAGAACCATTACCAGTACAGAAACTACATTTTTTCTCGATAGACATGTCCTGGTAGTGCGATTATAGCCATCGGGCGTATAGTTGGGGGAGGGGAGGGGGTAATATTATCAGGAGTGTATAATATAGAGATATAATACACTATATATACACTATAGCGATATATACTCTATATAGATATTATATTCTATATTATACACTACTGGTATTATACGATACAGACTGAAGTACTATTTCAGAAAGTTCGCAAAACTTTTTTATAAGATAGGATATTGGAGAATCTACGATCGACGCGTACCGACAGCAATGTCAGCATCCATTTGTAAAACTGTAATTTCTTACGAAGAAAATTTCCGATATGATATAGAGTTGAACAAAATTGTCCCAAGAGAATTTCCGACGGCAGACCTCTAAATTGAAGAGGATATGGCATGTATGATGATTTTAGATGTAGACTGATTTTCGCATAATGGGCTGATTCGCTACATTTTGAAATCCGGATAATCCGGCTGATGGAATCCGGATCAGGATCGTTAATCGAGGAAGGCATTTTTTATCGATGTAGCGTGCACGTAAGCATGCATGGTAACTATACCGTAACAACTATAACAAGACTATAGTATACACCGCGTGTACCCTCTAGTCTAACCTATCGTAACCGTTCCCATCGTATATATATAATATCTGATATAATATATATCATATATGGCATGGACTATATTAGAGCACAAGACAAAAATAATTTAATCATGTACACTATATATATATATATATATATATATATATATATTAACCATCATAACTGTCATTTATATACCTATTCCTCGTCCGTGTCCGTAGGTGCGAGGTACGTAAATACGCTCGCTGCAGTGGTGTCCGCCCCAGCCCTCCGGACAGCTGCACCAGTAGTCGATTTCACCCTTGTAGCCATCGTCGTACGGTTCACACACGGCATCGTTGTGACAGGGATCGCCGTGGCACGGATCTGCGTGGAAGGCGACGGGGGATTCATATATATATATATATATATATATATAATATCAGTGTTAAATAATGACAATTTGTCATTATTATTGTCAATTATTATTATTGTCATAATATGTCATTATTGTCAATTTAGTGCATGACGTGATAAATCGCTGCAATCTCATTGGATAACGTGGCAGGCACTATGAAGCGATAGTGCCCGCCTGAGCGGGCACTATCGCTTGCGCGACGCATTGTTATTATAACGCATTGTATTTACGTCACGAATCTCCTGCGTCTGGGCGCCACGCGAGAGTTTCGAACGGCGGTTGTGTTTGTGTCGAACGTTTTGTTACATCGAATGCACCGGCAAATTAGGGAGTATAAAGAAGGTATATA